TCTTGTTAGCCTTGCAGCTAACTGACAAGCAAGGCTAGCCCCCAGTGAGAGGGATAACCCCACCAGCATTCCCAGAGGAAAGGAGGGTTAAATAAAAAAAAAGTGAGTGTGTTAATGTGAGTGAGTGTGTGTGTCTGTTAGTGTGTGTCTGTTAGTGTGTGTGTCTGTTAGTGAGTGTGTGTGTGTGTGTGTGTCTGTAAGTGAGTGTGTGTGTGTGTGTGTGTCTGTAAGTGAGTGTGTGTGTGTGTGTGTGTCTGTAAGTGAGTGAGTGAGTGTGTGTGTGTCTGTTAGTGAGTGTGAGTGTGTTTGCCTGTTAGTGTGTAGGAGTGTGTGTGTCTGTTAGTGAGTGTGTGTGTGTCTGTTAGTGAGTGTGTGTCTATTAGTGTGTGTGAATGTGTGTGTGTCTGTTAGTGAGTGTGTGTCTGTTAGAGTGTGTGTGTGTGTCTGTTAGTGTGTGTGTTTCTGTTAGCGAGTGTGTGTTTCTGTTAGCTAGTGTATGCGTATCTGTCAGTGAATGTGTGTGTGTATTTAGAAGGTGGGGCAGAGGGGAAGGGTTGGGTGGGGGTGGTGCGTGGGGGGCACCTGAGTTTTGTCCTGCCTAGGGCAGCACAAAACCAGGATACACCATTGCCTGTACATGTGCTTTCTTGAGCAGGAGGGGCACTGCATGATTTCAGTCATTCACGGCGTAGTATGTTACCAATTGTTTTCTTGGTGACTATGGTCCCAGCTGCCTTGAGATCATTAACAAGATCCTCCTGTGTAGTTCTGGGCTGATTCCTCACCGTTCTCATGATCATTGAAAGTCCACGAGCACCAGACCGAGGGAGACTGACCGTTATTTTGTGTCTCTTCCATTTGCGAATAATCGCACCAACTGTTGTCACCTTCTCATCAAGCTGCTTGGCATTGGTCTTGTAGCCCATTCCAACCTTGTGTAGGTCTACAATCTTGTCCCTGACATCCTTGAACAGCTCTTTGATTTTGGTCATGGTGGAGAGTTTGGAATCCGATTGATTGCTTCTATGGACAGGTGTCTTTTATACAGGTAATGAGCTGAGAATAGGAACACTCCCTTTAAGAGAGTGATCCTAATCTCAGTTCGTTACCTGTATAAAAGACAAAAAGGAACCAGAAATCTTGCTGATTGATAGAGGAGCAAATACTTATTTCACTCATTGACGTGCAAATCAATTTATAACTTTTTTGGCATGCGTTTTTCTGGATTTTTTATTCTGACTCTCACTGTTAAAATACACCTACCATTAAAATTATAGACTGATCTTTTTTTTTGTGGGCAAACTTTCAAAATCAGCAGGGGATCAAAAACCCATTATTCATGTTATTAAATGAAATTTTGAGTAAAGTTATCAATAAGATTTATTCTAATGCTAATAATGCTTAATAGGTTTACTCTTCTTAATGTCTTAAATTAGAGGGGCAAAAGGTTTAAAAATAATTTAAGGAAGTATTACTTTACTGAGAGGGTAGTGGATGCATGTTATAACCTTCCAGCTGAAGTGGTAGAGGCTAACACAGTGAGAGAGTTTAAGCATGCATGTATAGGCATAAGGCTATAGACTTAAGATAAGGCCAGGGACTAATTAAAAGTATTTTGAAATATTGGGCAGACTAGATGGGCTGAATGGTTATCTGCCGTCACATTCTATGTTCCAATGTTTCTATGTTTTCATTTACGTAATTTTTTCCTTTTTTAACTCTTCAGCTCTTTAGTCTAGACACTTTTTACAAGTAAAAAATGATTTACAAGATAAATCTTATAATCGGTGGGTGGAGCGCTAAACAATAAACAAGCAAATAATTGCTTATCCCTTACTGTAAGATTATATAGATCTCGATGTGGGGTAATATGAAAAGGGAAAAAAAAAAATAGAACATATCTAGTGTAGATGGTACTTTTAAGGTGCTGAATGCAAAGTAAATATAAGTAGGCACACTCACAATTTTCAGAGCCTGAGAATAAGGCTCTATAATAGCGCAGATGTGCTTTTTTAGGCAGCACCCCACCTTCCTGGATAGCTGAAGATCTCAAGGCAAACAAAACAGGAGATTATTGTGCAGGATGTCTGTATATACCAAAAACTTAAAATCATTCTATAAAGGGGAATCTCACCTCATTATTGTTCACACTAAACTCACTAGTGAGTTATTTGTTACTTTTTACAAAGTAATTATTACTACTATTACTATTTTGTTTGCATTTTATTATTAAATATTGTCAGTCTTTGTTGTGGTTTAAATTCAGCAGACAGCAATGTTTTCTCTCAGGTATGAAGACAAGGAATGGACACAGCAGAAATACAAACTTGGAGGGCAGTACTCATTCACACAAGTGTATGGCAAATACTGCTCCTAATTTTAATGGGGAAAACACAGATCTTAGAACAAAATTCTATACACATGCAAAAAGGGGATGTCTTCACATAATACAGTCATGTCCTGTCAATTGCATATTCAAAGAACTTTAAGTACATTTGGCATTAGCTGGTCAAGAGATGTTACTTGATTAAACAAACACTTTCCAACAGTCATAAAGACAAGGTGTTAACAGGATATGGAGTGCAGGGGGGAAACAAGAAGAAGATACAAATCAGGATCAAAGGCCAGCTGTTATAATAGAGCATTCTGACATTACTTAATCAATTGTGTGGTGTGACACAGGATATAAGGGGGAAAGGTGCTCGTTAATCCAGTGTTTCCCAACCCAGTCCTCAAGGCACACCTACCAGTCCAGGATTTAGGGATTACCCAGTTGTGTCTAAGGTGTTTTTTTTCTTCTTTGTAAAAACACCTTAGACACACCCTGTAATCCCTAAATCCTGGACTGGTAGGTGTGCCTTGAGGACTGGGTTGGGAAACACTGCATTAATCCATATCATTCCAATCTTTTATTCTGAAAGAATAACTTATCAGTAAATTAATTAATTGTCTATTATAGCACTCAGGGAAGAAGAAAAACCTCAGAACCATTATTTCTGAAGAAAATCTCCGGGGAGCCATGGCTATAATAAGACCGTCCCTCTCTCCTGGACGAATTAAGGTTTATTAAACAATTAGTAAAATTTTAGGGCTTGGTATAAATTATTTGCAGATCCAATTAAATGATTGTCTGTTTCCCATGATGAAGGAGATAAAACCCGCTTAGAGTGTTATATATATTGTAATGGCACCCACAGGCATAAAAAGGGGTTAAAAGCTGTTTAGTAGATCTTCCCTTCCAGAGACACAGGCACAGCTACTGTAGACACCAATACACCAAACCGGAGAAGCATATGATTGCTCTCATACAAACGAATGCTGTAGACAGCTGAATAGGAAAAACCATACGAATAGGTTTACACTTCTAGCAGTCAAACTGGAACAGCATACAATAAATCCCCTCAAGAACGAGACAAGGCTCCGTTTTGAGGGTCAAGCAGGAACAGACAGAGCTGTGGGTTTATTGTTCTTATATACACATTAGTACCACCCATAGGGTTTTGGAATAAAACCACTAAACACGTACAATACACTCAGACACTCCCACACAAAATCCTCCCCTCTGCCTGTGATACAATTACCTAACACAATGGGTAATGTAATTATCACAGCCAGAGAAATACAGTTTTTACACATTATTCATAACTTGAAAAGTATGCATCACATTCACATAAAACCTACATTTCAAAATCAGCATACTCCAAATACAAACATATGTCAAAATCATCCAAATTGGTCAATTGGTTCAAAAGATAGATCGAAGTCCTTTGTGACCAAATGAAGCATGGCTTTTCTGCCCAAAACAAGTTCCACAGAGTCTTCTAACCTGGAGATAATTGGGAAGTAATCCAATTATCTCCAAGGACAGAGACAAAACTCCATTAAGCACATGGCAGCAAAAGACAATAAAACACATAAAAATATATAACTGTGCAGCCATTAAACAAAACAGGTACATTAAACATATCCCCAGATAGTTCAGATCTGAGCGGACATTATTACTGAATGGCGCTCAGTGCACACACATACAGTTCAATTGCCATGGAGCCAAAGTCTTTCCCATAGTCTTTCATTATATGAATGGGCTCCATGGCATAGCTATCTGGGGTATCACCGCTCAAACAGGGCAAGCACTGAATGACCCGGCTTTCGTGTCTTCGCAGGGGGAAATCAAGCGTTGATAATTCTTTGCTTGGAATGTCCAGAGGGCTTGATGTGGGACATCTTTTTAATCTGCTTGCATGAATCCATGTCTGGTTTCCTCGGTCAGAACGGCTGTTCGGGTGATGGCAACAATGGTTGTGAGAGTGCCGTATGGTAGATCAAAGGTTCTGGATTTGAAGAGGGACTTCTCAAAGACTTGGTCTCCAGGCCTGAAAGGATGTGTGGTTGTACCTGACGGATGAGCAAGAGATAGAGACAAGTCAGCATAGATGCCATTCAATGTGTCTACAAGGTTCAATACAAATAACACAACATTTAGGTCTCCGCTCACCATCGGAGCACCTTTGGACTTACACCATGAAGTTGGAAAAGGTCTCCCCAATAAAATTTCAAAGGGTGAATAACCCATAGTTGAACTAGGGGTCATTTTGATCTCAGCTAAAACTGCTGGCAAATTGTCTGACCAATTGTGTGTGCTACCCACGCTTCCTTTTGTCAATTTCTCCTTGATCGTTTTATTCATCCTTTCTACTTGCCCTGATGACTGAAGGTGATAGGGTATATGAAATTTCCAATCTATACTCAACATTTTACAAACCTGCTGTGTAACTGCTGAAGCAAAAGGAGTTCCTTTATCACTATTAATCATAACTGGGCAGCCAAAACGTGTCTACCTTTGCCGTTGTCATATGCGTGAAGTAAATTTGTAATTTAACATTGGGCCTTCCGCTGTGGTCATGTTTACCAAACTGTGGTTTGGTAGTATTAACTCTTGCACATGTTAAGCACCTGAATAAAATATTGGTAACTGTCTGATCTAACCTGTTAATTACAAATCATTCTTTTAGCATAGCCAATACTCCTCTTCGTCTGACATGTCCATACCCATGGAACTGTCGGACGAGTAACACAGAAGAATCTTGAGGGATTACTATGCGACCTTTAGGATCCTTGAGGATACCAGAAGCTGCATCAGGTGTAACAGAAATTTTACTCCAATAAGCTAAGTCATCCAAAGATGATCCAGCCTACATAGAAACAATATCAATATCATCAGTATCAATATTCTGAAAAATCTTTTTCTAATTCATCCAAACTGGGATATAATGGTACAACAGTAGGGACATAAGCAGGTGATGCTGCAGAAGCCTGAACATACTTTGAAGTCTGATCAGGAACAACCCATAACTGAACACACTTTAACCATCCTGAAGCTGCATTATGCATATAATACATATACCTTTCGGCATTTGCAAATGAAAATCACTAAAAGAACCCTCTCTTAGCCATGGATTACAAATCACTGTATCACAATTCTCTGACCATGCAACTAAATTTGTACAAAATGGTTCAGCATAGTAATCTCCAATAGTTTCTTGAACAAACTGGCATGGAGTTTGGCCTAATCAAGGACCCTGAGACTTGACTTGAGGAGTACGTGATGCAGCACTATTAGGGACATTTTTAGATGATTTAAATTTTACAGAATTTTGTTGGGAATTTTTACCATTACTGGAGCCCATTTCCAACTTCACACAGATAGAGATAAATTTACTCATACTTACCGTAATTTTCTTTTCCTGGTCATAGGCCATGGCAGCACAACAATGGGTAGCTCCTCCCCTATCCCTAGTTAGACAGGAACTAATTAAAATAAGGGTACAAATACCCCCTCCTACCTCCTCCTCCCTCAGTCTAGTTAACAGCAATATCCCTGGGTGGGACCTTTGTGCTGCCATGGCCTATGACCAGGAAAAGAAAATTACGGTAAGTATGAGTAAATTTATCTCTTTCCTGGCCATATCCATGGCAGCACAACAATGGGTAATACCCAAGCTAAAACCAAGGGAGGGAAAGAAAAACTCAGACACATTATTATATAATGCAAGTGTATTGTCACAAACAATTCAATGTGATGAACAAAAAGAATAGTAGTTAATCCTTTGAGGCAGAAAGAACTGATCTGCCAAATCCATCGTATTGGCCAGCTCTTACATCTAAACGATAATGTCTAATAAATGTATTAGAAGATGACCAAGTGGCTGCTTTGCAAATCAGTTCTGTAGAAACCTTTGCTGCAGCTGCCCAGGATGAAGAAAGGGAACGTGTAGAATGAGCTTTCAAACCTTCAGGAACACTAGTTTTAGATGATCTATAAGATTGGATAATGGCCGAAACTATCCATCTGCTGATAGTGGCTTTCGAAGCTTGCAGACCCTTCCTAGGGCCATTAGGAATAACAAAAAGCCTTTCCGAAATACGCCATTCTGAGGATCTTTGTATATATATCTTAAGACATCTTACTAGGTCGATAGCATCATCATCAGCGTCTTCCCTGTTATTAGATTCTTCTGTACTTAATGCTGGAAGGATTATTTCTTCATTCATATGGAACTCTGAAGTTACCTTAGGGCGGAATTCTGGAACCGTTCTCAGGACGACTCTGTCCTTATGAAATATAGTAAAAGGTTCTCGAGCCGAAAGAGCCTGAAGATCAGAAACCCTTCTACCAGAGGCTAGAGCTACTAGTAGAACTGTCTTGATCGTGAGAAGATGACAGGAAATTGATGCCATAGGTTCAAAAGGATCTGCTTTAAGAGCCTTCAGGACCAGAGGGAGATCCCATGGCGGAGTAATAGACTTAATGGGTGGCTTGATCTTGAGGACTGCAGTCAGAAATCTAGCTATGTCTGGATCCAGTGCCCATCTATGATTAGTTAAAGCAGAGAGGGCAGAAACATGCACTTTTAGAGTGTTATAACTCAATCCCTTCTCTAGACCTGATTGTAAAAAATCAAGAATGTCAGTAGTTGAAGGGTTCAACATATCAAAGGGCCTTGAACTGGCCCATGAAGAAAATACATCCCATATTCTGTAGTAAGTGGATGAAGTGGACTTCTTCCTTGCTTGAAGAAGTGTCTCGATAACTGATCTCGAAAATCCCTTGTTCTTTAACCCATCCCTTTCAAGTACCATGCCATCAGATGAAGGGATGCTGGGTTTGGATGATGAATTGGACCCTGATGTAACAGGAATGGGACAACTGGAAGGCGCCATGGATCCTTCTTGCACAGACTTAGTAGGAGCGGAAACCAAGGTCTGCGAGGCCAAAAAGGGGCTATTAGAATCAGTGATGTCTTCTCTTGTCGTAGTCTCCTTAGCAGAGGGAAGATGAGGGGTTTCGGAGGAAAGGCATAAGCCAGGTTGAAGTTCCAACTGCATGTCAATGCGTCTCTTCCTATGGCCTGGGGATCTGGAATTCTCGAAAAGAAGTTCTTGACTTTTCTGTTGTTGCTTGTAGCCATTAGATCTATCTGGGGAAGGCCCCATTTTTCTACGATCTGTAGAAATATTATGTCTGATAGACTCCATTCTCCCGGGTCTAATCTCACCCTGCTGAGAAAGTCTGCCACAGAGTTCTGAGTTCCTGGGAGATGTATTGCAGAGATATTCTCCAAATTCATTTGAGCCCAGGCCATCAAAGGTTTCATAAGTTTCATCATTCTGCAACTTCTTGTCCCTCCTTGGTGATTTATATATGCCACAACTGTGGCATTGTCTGTCCTGATCTTGACCCATTTGTGAAGTAAAAGTTGCTGGAAGTGCATTAGAGCCTTGAAAACTGCCAGAAGTTCTAGAAGATTTGAAGGGGTGTCGGAGGTTGAAAATGCCCATTTCCCCTGAACATAGTTGTCTTGAAGGTGGGCTCCCCAGCCCCATTGACTGGCATCTGTGGTGATGATGATCCATGGAATGTTTCCTAAGGGATAACCTCTGAAGAGAGACTCTTTCTGGGTCCACCACTTCAGGGATTCTTGTACGTGAGCAGGGATCACTATAGGTTGAGACAGATTGCCCTTGTATTGAGAAAGGAAATTCCTTTAGAAAGGCCTCATTCTCCATTGGGCCCATCTCGTAAGTCCTATGGTGGAGGACATTGATCCCAGGAGGCTCATAGTTGTCTCTGCTGAGGAAACACTGGATGCTAACATGTCTTTGACCTTTTTCCGAATTTTCATACCCCTTTCTGGGGACAGTTGGACGGAACCTTCTGCAGTGTTGAATGCTGCTCCTAGATATATCATGCTCTGGGATGGCTTTAGGTTGCTTTTGGCAAAATTGATCTTCCCTCCGTGTTGTTGAAGATACTGTATACATATCAGGCCGTGATCTTCTAATATATTTCTGTTTTCTGCCAGAATCAAGATGTCGTCGAGGTAATGATATACTGCAATGCCTTTCTTCCTGAGTTCTGCGATGAGAACCACCAGAACTTTTGAGAAAGTACGCGGAGCAGTGCTTAGCCCAAAAGGGAGAGCACGGAACTGAAAATGACCCTCTTCTACAGCGAATCTGAGGAATTTTTGATGCTGGGGTGCTATGGGAATATGGAAATATGCGTCTGCCAGGTCTATCGACATGAGCCATTGATCTGGAAAAACTGCTTTTACAATGGATTGAAGAGACTCCATCTTGAATTTCCTTATGTTTAGGAACTTGTTTAGTCTGCTTAGGTCTAATATTGGTCTCCATCCCCCTGTGGATTTTCTGGTGAGAAAGATATGGGAGTAAAACCCATGTGTTCGTTGAGCTCTTGGAACTTGAACAATAACTCCATCGTCTTGAAGGGATGAGATAAACTTTTTTAGGGAATCTCTTTTTTCTACATCTCTTGGCCAGATTGTCTTCTGGAAGGAGCGAGGAGGCGGCCTTGTGGAGAATTCTATAAGATAACCTCTTTGTATGATATCCAGCACCCATCTGTCTTGAGTTGAATGTTTCCACATATTCTGGAATAGAAGTAGACGGGCACCTACTCCTCCAGAATGGTAGGTGGGTTTGTCATAAAGGCTTCTTGTGAAATGAGGAACCTCTAGACTTTCCTCCTCTGTTGGATGAATGACCTCCTCTCCATGGAATAGATCTTCCATATTCTCTTCCTGGTTTATAAGATCTGGTATCACGAAAAGAGGGGTATTCAGAGTATCTTCTGGCTCGAAAGGATCCACGGGTTTTCCGGTCTTGTGGGAGAAAGGCTTTTTTACCTTCTGCAGCTCTTTTGATGCACTCGTCTAGATTTTTACCAAACAACATCTCACCATGAAAAGGAAGGGCGCATAGACTAGACTTTGATGATGAATCTGCGGACCAGGATCTCAGCCATAAAGCTCTTCTAGCTGAAATTGAAAGAGCCATGTTTCTTGCTAAAGCTTTCACCATGTCCACCGAGGATTCTGAGGTAAAGTCAACGGCCAGTTTAATATCATTTAATCTTTCCAGAAGAGAAGATCTGTTTCTCCCATCTCTGATATCTTCTTCCAAGTTTTCGATCCTGATTTTTAAGGCCCTGGACACTGAAGTAAGGGCTATTGCAGGGTGAAAACCAGTCCCTGCTGCTAAATAAGCTTTTGAGAGATGCAGATCCATCTTTTTGTCCATTGGGTGTCTAAATGAGCCTGCATCATCTACTGGTAATGTGGTATGTTTTGCGAGTCGAACTACTGCCGCATCCACCTTAGGGGCATTATCCCAATGGTATGAATCAGACTTGTCAAAAGGATAGAGGCGAGATATTCTGCCTTGTGCTGAAAGCTTCTTATCTGTGTTAGACCACTCGTCTTTAATTAATTCCTTAATAGTATCATGTACTGGAAAGGTAGCTCTTTTCTTTCTCAAGTCTGAGAAATAACGATAAGAGGTTGACTGTTCTGCAACTGCCTCCTTCAAGCTCAAAGATTTACGGACTTTGTAAATGAGGTGGTCTATCTGAGCAGGTTCTAAAAAATCTGCAGGGGCCTGAGTTTCTTCTTCATCTGAAGATAAGAAATTCCCCTGGTATGATTCCATATCCATGGATTCATCTGACGAATCATTAACCGAAGGTTCATGTAACCGGGGTCTTTTGTGACTTGCCCCCGCTTCTTTGATACCTTGAGCCACCGCTTGTTTTATGAACTGTACAAATTCCATTGAAGGATTAGATGTTCCAGCCGCTTCAGATAAACATTCTGCACATAACCGTTTGCCTTCCAGCGGTTTATTGTTACAGGCTTCGCATTGATTTTTCTTTGGAGATTTTCCTTTGGATGATCTCACTGTTTTCTTTCCCGTAGAACTATCATGATAGGGAAATATCTCATATTAGCACTCTTTTATTTCATGTATCATATTCCGGTAAAGGAAAAAAAAAAAAAATGATGTGATATGGCTTACCTATAACTCTTAGAGTGTGACCTATTTTTATATCCAGAAGAGTCTGAATCAGAAGAAATTGATCTCCTTTTGTCTTTTTCAATTTTGGAGTTGATTATGAACAGTCTAAAAAAGGAATTCTTATTGTTATAGAAAGAAAGGAGTAAAGAAATGAAAAAATGTGTATATACCTTTAAGAAGTAAAGCTTACCTTCTTAGATTTTCCAGTAAAATATAAACGCAATTCAAATTGAGAACTGTAAGAAAACAGGTCCTCTAAAGACCTAATGAGGACATCAGGTAATAATTTAATCCAAGTTTGGCGCTTAAATAGGCGTGTGACGTCATATCTGACGTCACCGCCTATCCGCGCATGCTCAAAACGAGCGAATTCATCGCTCGTTAACTGCGCATGCGCGGCACAAACCCGGAAGCCACTCCGGAGTAGGAGGCACTGTAACTGCCTCATGGGGACCAGATGCATGCGCAGTGTATAGCGTGCGCGCGGACCCGGCGTGCACGCGAATGAAGCTAGCGTGCACGCGATACAAACGTGCACGCGCGAAACGGCGCGCATGCGCACCCGGACAAACAGGACGCCGAGAAGGCGTGAAAGAAAAAGTACACAGAAATAATAGGCAGGGGGGGGAAAAACCCACACATATGATTTAACAAATACAGTATATATATGGTTAAAAAGTATTTGTATATACATACATGTGGGCTGTTGTAAAATGCAGAAATCCATCCAGGATAAAGTCTTCTTGCCACTTCCTGCTACCTCTTGGTCACTGCAGGGAATCAGAGTTATTTGGCATTTTTTTCTCTTGCTACCCCTAGGGTCACTGCAAGTAAAACCCCGGTCACTAAGGGGGTATCTTCAGGGGGACACCTTTGCACAGGGCCGGATACTGAAGCTTCCCAAGGAAGAGAGGCTGAACTTCCTTGAGGACAGAAGGTAAAAACCCTCAGGTAAGCCATAAAAGAAAAGTGGTTATAGTCCTGAAAATAGACTAATTTGGTCCTATAGGGATAGGACAGGAACAAAAAGACTGAGGGAGGAGGAGGTAGGAGGGGGTATTTGTACCCTTATTTTAATTAGTTCCTGTCTAACTAGGGATAGGGGAGGAGCTACCCATTGTTGTGCTGCCATGGATATGGCCAGGAAAACACTTTACAATATATAAGACACTTTATATATGAACAATGCACACTTTTTAAACAATACAACTATACAGGCAGTACTATAATAAACAAAAATAAGATTTATTCTACTGTGTCCAAACCGTGCATTCAATATAGTGACTAAATGTGGTCACTCAGTGGGACTGCTATACCCACTATGTACAACTTACCGGTAAGATGGGACTCTAACCCATAAAATATAAATTTTTCTCTTATACAACTTAACATGGGACTCTAACCCATACTTAACATGGGACTCTAACCCAAACTTAATAACAACTTAACATGGGACTCTAACCCATAACATAATAAAGTATGCTGTAATAAAATACAATATTATGTAAAATATTATAATGCACAGCTACTTGGGGACTCAAACCCTTTTAACTTCTGGTACAACAAAAACAAAAAAGAAAAGCAAAACAAAAACAAAAAAAAACATTACTTTTCTGCAACCACAAAAAAATTGTTCAGAGAATCCAAACAAGGCAAAGAAGACAAAAATAAAACAGAAGATGTTCTTACCCGATTTGGATTCTCTCCACTTCTGACACCATATTGTTGTGGTTTAAATTCAGCAGACAGCAATGTTTTCTCTCAGGTATGAAGACAAGGAATGGACACAGCAGAAATACAAGCTTGGAGGGCAGTACTCGTTCACACAAGTGTATGTCAAAATACTGCTCCTAATTTTAATGGGGAAAACACAGATCTTATAACAAAATTCTATACACATCCAAAAAGGGGTTGTCTTCACATAATACAGTCATGTCCTGTCAATTGCATATTCAAAGAACTTAAAGCACATTTGGCATTAGATGGTCAAGAGATGTTACTTGATTAACACTTTCCAACAGTCATAAAGACAAGGTGTTAACAGGATATGAAGTGCAGGGGGGGAAACAAGAAGAAGATACAAATCAGGATCAAAGGCCAGCTGTTATAATAGAGCATCCTGACATTACTTAATCAGTTGTGTGGTGTGACACAGGATATAAGGGGGAAAGGTGCTCATTAATCCATATCAGTCTTTTTTAATGGTTGTTAAATGTATCACTATTTGTTGAGGTTTTGTTTTCTCTTCTGAAACACACCCACATAGGATATATTTCAGGGCTTACTTTTGTCTTTCACTTACATTTCCCTTGGTATATTGTACTTTTGAGTACATGTATTGAGCACATGTATAAATGACTTCTTACATCATCTAGCAAACAATGCTGTATTGAATATAAACATTAGCACCAGTCCATTCTTAGTTTGGTACTAGTCCACTAAAGCTTTTTTTTTTTTTTTAAGATTGTCAGTGTATTACTGTTTGTTAAAGAGGCCTAGAATGTGTTTTAATATTTTTCCCAATAAATAAGTCATTGCAAATATTGAATTATATCTAAAGTGCTCATAATCCATTATCTGTTTCTGAATAATTGTTGTTTTATAACGTATTAAAATTAATAAATATAAATAATAGTGACTTATATAATTTACATAAAGAAAACAATCGCTTGCACAAGAATTGCTTGCACTATAAGAATTCATTAATTAATTAATCATTCTGTTCATGACTACATTTTTGAGAACATTTTTGTAATGAAGATAATGTTTACTTGACAACGAACCCTTTCAGAGACACTAAATGTAAAATAAACATAAAGTGCTTTACTATCAATCCTGTGATCAGCAGAAAATGACCAGATACTTTTATTTGGGGAGATTTAATGAAGCTCATAAATATTTGTCTGGAAGCAGAATGTATTTGTTCTCAGATCAACAGGGTATTTTATATGTAAATGACTTTCTACTAACATTTATTCTTTTCAACCTTAAGTACAGTGCAATGACTCATGTAGAGAGAATAAATCTATATTTAAATGTTTTAAAGGTAAAGGTTCCATAAATATGGGATCACTTCTAAGCAATGGAAAGAATATTGCTGGAGTGAGTAAAAAGCTATCGTTTTGCAATATCATTTATACTACTACCTTTGGCCTCGATTTAGTAAACTTTTCAAATGCTTCAATAATGCAAGAAAAGCCTTCCAAATAATTTATTTATAAAAATTCCCATAGACTTTAATAGTGACTTCTGTAGACATATCATTTGGACTATTTTTAACAGTAATAAAGTATTTGAAAAGTTTCTTAAATAGAGACCTTAATGCAAATAAACAAACCAATTATAGTGGCACTGATTACAATTAATTGTGTTTAATCCTGAATATTAAAATCAAAAGAATCACTCTATATGAAAGTCGCTAGGGTTTTTTTTATTTTTTTTATTTCTTTATTTGTATCTTTTTCCAGTTTCATTTATACGGGTGGGGTTACAGAACAAAGAGGAAGCGTTAGGTGATTTCATCGCATATTACAGTGTACATATATGGTTACATGAATTACAATCACTTAGTATGTTTCCAGAGGTTTGTACATTTGTGGCTTATTTTAGCTTCTGTGCTACCTCGTGTACTGGAGTTTTCCTCTGGTCCTGTTCTCTGTCGTAATTCTTTGTGTGCTATTTAAGGTCAATAACAATAACAACAACAAGGGTAACACATAGGTGAGAACAAATGTTTAGGCTCTGCGGCCCATTAGTGTGGTTTGGGGTGGGTAGTTGGGTGGGTTGTGTTCCCGGTAGGTGGGGGCTGGGGGGGAGGGAAGGGTAGATAGAGGGAGAGAGGGAGATAAAGGGGGACAAATTTCATTCTCCACTGCACCTGGGAGGGGACTGCGACAAAGTACACATTGTAATTACATTAACTCTCAGGTCCAGAACATACATAGAAAAAACAGTGAAGTCTGGGTGCTAAATGGTGCTTATTAAACCAGTGTGTATAAATATGCTTTACACTCAGGTGTAATCCCCAAATTCACCAGTAAAGAATAATATGCAATAGTGAGTGGAGCAATATAGGACACAGTATTAGGAAATTGTATTAGAAAATTGTATACAAACTTATTAGGTATTTGATGTTTTCTTCAAAGAGACAATAGAACATGTAGGAGAAAAAAACGCAATAATGCAGTGATCATGCAGATTGTACTAGACTGACACTCATTTGTCAATTAACATATGTTAAATAGTCCTATTTATGCATAACCTTAATTGTAGATAACCTTATATGCAGATAATCAATAACTTTAAATATAGAATGTAAGCAAAGTTGAACAATTTATTATCTGCTACATGCAGAGTTAAAATCAAAACATAAATAGAAAGATAATATCAAAGACAGAGGGTCGCTAGCCTCTTACTGAATGAGGTAGTGAGTTAAAACGGCTTCCACCGTTACTCATTAAAACAGCTTGTGATGAGTCAAAGGATGAGCTGCTGTCTCCTCCTCCGGCTCGGCTGGGCTGTAGTCAAACTGCTGCAGACAGTAGACGAGTACACACAGACCGGAGTTGAAATTAACCGCCTGGAGTTACGACTTGTGCAAGCTCCTCCCACTTTGATGACGTCGATGCGTTTTGCCGTATGACGGCTTCCTCAGAATGTGCTGCCGACCTCCATGTCAGTTATGGGCTTATAAAGGCCAGAGTCATAATCTGATTGGATGTCTTACACTGCCTTAATTTGCATGCGATCATTTCGTCCTACTGCCTTACGACTCACTTAAAATCAAACACTTCTCAATAATATCTATAGAAGTATTATAATAAAAAAATATATATATTTTGCTCTCAAAATATAAAGTCCAATATCCAGTATAGTTACAGGTATAAATCTCATTACAGAGAGCATTCATTTAAAATAGAGCATTCATTTAAAATAAAGCATTCGTTTAAAATAATTAAACAGTCATTTGAGGGAGTTTTAGATGGCAATTTATTAGTAATTAAAGATACATTGACCATTTTACATTACTATTTACAATAAAGATAAATAGATCAACAATTCTCAATTTTTCAAAAACATAAAAATCATACAATTTGATGGAGTATGTACATAAAAAACTTTTCTTAGTAGCCACTTAGTCACAAACACTGGCCAAAATTGGCGTTCAAATTAGTTTTTTTGCATTTTTTACACACAAACAAATATTAACGCTAACTTTGGCCAGTGTTTGTGAATAAGTGGCTACTAAAAAATACTGGACATACCCCATTTGCAATACCTTGGGTTGTCTACTATTGCAAATGGTATGCCATCATGGGGCTACCATATGGTCTCAAAGGCAACGTAACCAATTTCAGTGTGAAAAGACTGAAGAATTTAAAATGCTATATTTGACCATGTTATTTCCCAGAAAAACATAAAACCTGTACATAGGGGGTACTGTTTTACACATTAGAAATCACTGAATACAAATATGTGTATTTTATTGCAGTAAACGCTAACAGTATTATGACATTCACAGTTAAAATGTCATGCAGAACTAAAAAAATATAAATT